ACACACACACACACAGACACACACACACACAGACACACACACACACACACTCTTACTCCCCCCTTCATCTGTCTTCTCTCCATTCTACCCCCACCATAACACTCACTCTGTCTCTGTCTCTCTCGCTCTTGCTCTCTCTCTCTTCCCTTCCCACCCCAGCTACCTTGCTGTATTTCACCCCAACAAACTCTTTTCTGTCTCTTGCCTTTCTCATCCCCCCTCCTGCCCCTTGCTCCTGACTGTTCTGCAACCCACTTGCTGTCTCTCCCTCTCTTTCCCTCCCAAACCTGCCCCAGGCTGACAACCTATCTTGGTCACCCTCCATCTGTCGCTCTCGTTCCATTTGGCGTATGTGCATTCTCACGTTGTCTCTCTCCCTCTCACTTGCCTTGTGTGTGACCTGACACTGAGGTATAAGAAGAGCAGCGAACCATGCCAGAGTAAATGGAAACAGACATCAGAATCAATGCCAACACCGTGTGGAGCTGGAGGAGCACAGCAGGCCAGGCAGCATCAGCGGAGCAGGAAAGTTGACGTTTTGGGTGGGGACCCTTCTTCATTTCTGTGCTGTGCTCCTCCAGCTCCACACTGTGTTATCTCTGACTCCAGCAATTGCAATTCTTACCATCTCCTCATCAGAATCAATGCACCACATTTCTTTCAGTTCATATTAGGAATAGGAAGGGTGTCCGATCAATTATAGACTCAAACAACACAGAAACAGACCCTTACGTCCAACTGGTCCTCACTGACGATGTTCCCAAACTAAACTAGTCCCTCCCACCTGCGCTTGGCTCGTATCCCTCCAAACCTTTCCTAATCATGAACTTATGCAAATGTCTTTTAAATATTGTAACTGTAGCCGCATCCACCACTTCCTCTGGAAGTTCATTCCACACGTTAACCACCCTCTGTATTTTTTTACAAATTTGCCCGTCTTGTCCTTTTTAAATCTTTCTCCTTTGACCTTAAAAAATGCCCTTTGACTTGAAATCCCCACCCTAGGGAAAAGACATCTGCCATTCATCTTATCTATACCTCTCATAATTTTATAAACCTCGATAAGGTTACCTCTCAACCTCCTACGCTCCAGTGAAAAAATGTCCCAGCCTATTTTTATACAGGTAGTTCTGCTGTAACGTTTGTTTCTTTAATGCGAATTGGCTGTAATGGGAATGATGAATAGTGGACACTCTTTGGATAACGCAAACAGATATCGCGATTTTCTATAGTGCGAGATCACACAGGAACGCAACTATCGTGTTATAATAGAACTACCTGTATCTCAAACCCTTCATTCCCAGCCACATCCTGGTACATCTTTTCTGAACCCTCTCCAATTTAATAATATCCTCGCCGAGCTGGTGTGTTTGATTACAGACGTTTCGTCACCCTGCTAGGTAACACCGTCAGTGCGCCTCCGGTGAAGTGTTGGTGTTCTGTCCCGCTTGTTATTTATATGCCTCGGTTTGTTGGGGTGGTTGGTATTACTTCTGGTTTTGTTTCTCAGTGGTTTGTATATCGGGTCCAATTCAATGTGTTTGTTGATGGAGTTCTGGTTGGAATACGAGGCCTCCAGGAATTCCCTGGCATGTCTCTGTTTGGCTCATGTTATTACGGATGTGTTGTCCCAGTCAAATTCGTGTCCTTCTTTGGCTGTGTGTATTGAAATCTGTGAGAATTGGTCGTGTCTGTTGGTGGTTAATTGGTGTTTGTGTATCTTTATTGTCAGTTTTCTTCCAATTTGGCCGATGTAATGTTTCTCACAGTCCTTGCATTGGTATTTTGTGTATTACGTTAGTTTTACTGATTGTGGGTATGGGGTCGTTTACGTTTGTCAGTAGCTGTCTCAGGGTGGTTGTTGGTTTGTGGGCTACCCTGGTACCTAGGGGTCTGAGTAGTCTTGTGGTCATCTCTGATATGTCCCTGATGTACGGTAGGGTGACTGGTGTGTCTTTGTAATTGTACCTTTGTAATTGTTAAATGCACGAAACCGGAAGAACCCACCAACACACAAACAACATCCTCACCGGAATAAAATTCACAAGCGACAACAATAACGGAGTACCCTTCCTGGATGTAATGGTAGAACTCCAGACTAGCGTATACAGAAAGACCACCCATATAGACCAGGTACTTAAATACACCAGCAACCACAAACGGAGCTGCATCAGGACATTATTCAAACAAGCCACAACACACAGCAGCAATCCGGAATTGTACAAAGCAGAACAGGAGCACTTATACGGAGTTTTTGAAAGGAATGGATACTCAAAAAGCACAATCCGCTGTTACCTCCGAGACAGACCACAACAAGAAGACACAACACGGCCAGACACACTACTCACCCTACCGTACATCAGGGACATATCAGAGATGACCATAAGACTACTCAGACCCCTAGGTATCAGGGTAGCCCACAAACCAACACCCACCCTGCGACAGCTACTGACGAACGTAAAGGACCCCATACCCACAACCAATAAAACTAATGTAATATACAAAATACCATGCAAAGGCTGTGAGAAACACTACACGGGCCAAACTGGAAGAAGACCGACAATAAGAATGAACAAACACCAACTAGCCACCAGAGATACAACCAATTCTCACAGGTCTCAATACACAAGGACAAAGAAGGACCTGAATTCGACTGGGACAACACATCCGTAATAGCACGAGCCAAACAGAGACACGCCAGGGAATTCCTGGAGGCCTGGTATTCCAACCGGAACTCCATCACAAACACATTGAACTGGACCCAATATACAAACCACTGAAAAACACAACCAGAAGGAATACTAACCATCCAACAAGGGGGACAGAACACCAACGCTTCACCGGAGGTGCACTTACGGTGTTACCTAGCAGGGTGATGAAACGTCTGTAATCAAACACACCAGCTCAGTGAGCTAGTCTACAACCTCTTATTCATGACCCGAGCTACAAATCTTCTCAATAACTTTAAATAATATCCTTCCTGTAACTCGCTAGGGGTTCGGGATTACTCATCCAGTGATGTTCTCACTTCTCTGCACCGTCTCCCGCTCCACCTGAGGCTGCGACAAGTCTCCTTGTGGAATGTCAAGTTGACGAAGAGTAAACGTGGCGATAGTCTTTAATCGTCTCCCCATCACTGATTGAGGTACAAGCATACACCTCCCAACTCAGCCCTCTCACTGACTCAAGAAGAGAGAGAACCGTAGAAAGTTGGAGCAAGAGTAGGCCATTCAGCCGTTTTGAGCCTGTTCCGCTATTCCATGTGATCCTGGCTGATCATCCAACTTTCTGCCTTTGATCCCTTTAACCCTTCCAACTATATCGAACTTCTTCTTGACTACACTCAAAGTTTTGATTGAAACCCACTTTCAGTGGGAGAGATCTCCCCAGACTCTCCACATAGAGGTTGAAGAATTTTCTCATCTCAGTCCTGAATTATCCTGAGACTTTGATCTCTGGTTCTAGACTTATGGCTCATCAGGAACATCCTTTGTGCAGCTATCCATTTTGTCCTGTTAGGACTTTATAGTTTTCTCGGAGATCTCCTTCATTCTTCTGAACTCCAGTGAATGTAGTCCTAACCGATCTAGTCTCTCTTGATACGTCAGTCCTGCTATTCCCACGAATCAGTCTGGTAAATCTTTGCTGCACTTCCTCCATTTCCAGAACATCCTACCTCAGGTAAGGAGAGCAGACTGCACACAATGTTCCGAGTGTGGTCTCACCGTGTCTCCTCCGGGTGCTCCGGTTTCCAACCATAGTCCAAAGATGTGCAGGTTAGGGTGGATTGGCTATGCTAAATTGTCTCGTAGTGCCCAGGGATGTGCAGGTTAAGGTGGATTGGCCGTGCTAAATTGTCCCATAGTGCCCAGGGATGTGCAGGTTAGGGTGGGTTGGCCGTGCTAAATTGTCCCATAGTGCCCAGGGATGTGCAGGTTAAGGTGGATTGGCCGTGCTAAATTGTCCCATAGTGCCCAGGGATGTGCAGGTTAGGGTGGATTGGCCGTGCTAAATTGTCCCATAGTGCCCAGGGATGTGCAGGTTAGGGTGGATTGGCCGTGCTAAATTGTCCCATAGTGTCCAGGGATGTGCAGGTTAGGGTGGGTTGGCCGTGCTAAATTGTCCCGTAGTGCCCAGGGATGTGCACATTAAGGTGGATTGGCTATAGGAAATCCAAGGTGGCAGGGCCTGGGGGGGAGGGTCACTGCAGATTGGATGGACTAAATGGCCTTGACCTGCACTGTAACTCTGCTGGAAAACTTGAGTTATGGAGCCCAGCGTACCACTTACCAGCTGCCTGCTGCTCCTATGTATACTTCTGGCACACTCCTTTTGGGCTACTCTTTGAAAAAGGTGTGCTCTTTTGAAAACTGTTAAGTCTCACGAACGTATCGCGCCCCCTTAGGGTTATTGCCGTGAAAAACCAAATCTGCAAAGGGAAGTGAGAAAATTGCAGTTACGGTTTGGTTTCGGGAGGCAGGGAGCTGAGACGTTCAGGGGGTGCGGCCTGTAGGCTCCCAGTGGTGGCATAGGCCTCGTGGTACCAATGGAGAGCAGGCCATCCTCATCTCAATCGATGTGGGTACAGGCACGGAGGGAATGTGCTCCGCTTTATGCCTAGCCCTGTGCCGTGAACGTGTCTCTCTTTTCTGTCTCCAGGAGCCGGCGTCACGGGCGATGACTCGAACGTGCTGCGGACCTCGAGCGACGCTCTGCGCCAACTTGTCGTCTGGTCGCACGACCACAGCCAGGAGTGCGGCTTCATCCCCGACCTGAAGTCGGTGGTGCTGGAGCGGTCGGGCAGCTCCCTGAGAGCGGTCTGGGAGTGCATTGCCGGGCACTCCTACCCGTGGCTGCTCCTGGCCCCTCCGGATCGCGGCTGCCCCGGCGCCAGGACCAGGAGCAAGAGCCGAAACTGTGAGCGGGGGGCCGCCGTTGCCGTGAGCCGCGGGGGAGGGCCCGAGGCCCAGACAGACCCCGGGCCGCCCCCGGAGAGGACGGTGAAGGTGGAGGGTGCGCCACCGCCTCCCCGCCCCGCCTGGGAAGCGGGCGGAGAGGGCGAGCCGTGCAGGAGGGAGCTGGCAGGTCACAGGCCAAAGGACGGAGTGGCGGGTCAGGCCGACGGCCCCGGTCCCGTGCCGGAGAGAGCCGGCGGCCGACGGACGAGAGGAAAGGTATCGGAGTGCGGCCGGTCGCCCCCGGAGGAGTCGGTGATGCCAAGCGAGCTGGAGCCGAACAGCAAGCACTGCACCCGTAGGAAACGCGCCGAGCCGGGCCCAGCAGGTGGCCTGGACACCCTGCAGCTCGTCTGTGAGTCGGACTCGGCCACAGACGACGAGCCACGCCCAGGACCCGAAACGGCAGCATCCTTACCAGGTAAGAGACTGGCCGAACCCAAGCGCTTTTTCTCTCGCTGGCTTGACTTGTTCCCTCGCCCCCAGTGCCTGAGCTTTCCCCTCCCCTTTGGGGTGGTCGTCTCGGCATCTGTTAATTCAGAAACTCCAGGCTAACGCGTGCAGATTTGAATCCCACCATCCCTCAAAATTTCAATGTGATCTCTTTTTGTGTGTGTGTGTAAAAAGCAAGCCCGCCTCATGGTGATCGTGTTCCCGCTGTGGTTTGATTGTTGTTAAATCCCATCAAGCTCACAAATGTCCTCTTGGAACAGGAGGAGGCCATCCTGCCCATCGAGCCTTCCCAGCCATTCAACATGATGGTGGCTAATGGAACGTTTCGAAGCCTTTTACCCACGCTATCTCCATAACCCTTTATGCCGTTAATAATTGAGAATTTATCAGTCTTTCCTTTTTAAATGTGTTCAAGATTGAGCTTCCACAGCGCTCTGGGTTGGGGAGGGAGAGAGAATTACAAAGATACGCCACCCTCCAAGTTTTCAAAAAAAAAGTCATGATCTCAGCCCAAAATGGCATCTCTTTATTTTTAAATTGTTCCCTCCCGCCCCTGTCTGCCCAATTAGCAGAAACATCTGCCCTGTCTGCCCCTTGAAGCATCTTTGTAGGTTTCGGTGAGACCACCTCTCATTTTCAAAATTCTTTGAGAATGCCACTCCCAGTTTGCCCAATTTCTCCTCTTTGGAGAGTCCTGGGAATGATTCTGATGAACCTCGATTGCACTCCCCCTGTGGCAGTGATATTTTTATGGAGATAAGGAGATCGAAATTGCACACCCTACTGCAGGTGTGGTCTGAACAAACCCCTACACAACTGAAGCAGGATTTCACTAGTCCTGTGCTCGTATCCGCTCACAATAAAGGCTAACATTGCATGGGCCTTCCCCATAGCTTACTGCACCTTCCTGTTAGCCTCAGTGACATGCTGACATGGATACCCAAGTCCCTTTTGTACATTTACACTCTCCAACCTTCCACCTTTTTTTAAAAAAAGTCTGCACGTCAGTTCCTCCTACCATAGTTGTTAACCTGACAATTTTTCCACATTATTTTCCATCTGCCCCATCTCCTGAAAATGTTTCACATCTTCATCCCTGCACACATTCGTGCATAATTTATCCAGTACAATGTCTTAGCAATTCTCTTCAACTCCTCACCTTCCCTAGTCGCTTGGATCTTTCCGTTTGGGAGATTTCTGGTGTCCTCCTCAGTGAAAAGACATGAAGTCATCATTTAGTTTCTTTGACATTTCTCTATTCCCCTTTCTAGGTTCTTGTGACACTGCCTGGAATGGACCCTTAATGGTCTTAGCCAAACACTTTTTTATGTATGTGCAGAAGCTTTTACAGTCCATTTTTATGTTTTGCTAGATTGTAATTTGTATTTGTAATCTGTTCTTCCATTCCTCATCAGTTTTTTTGATGTATTTTAAAGAATGGTGATCCCAATCCTGAGATTTATGACTATTCCTGAGCACTTTAAGCCTTTTATTTTAATCTTATAGAATCCTTAACTTCCTTTGTCAATTACAGTTGACTTTTGAGTTCCTGCACTTTGAAAGAATGTATAATTGCAATAAGCAATGTAATGGTTCTTCAAAGACTTGTCCATTGCCAATCTCCAGCCATGCTTTTTAATGTATTTTCCAAATGCAACTCGTCTCATGTTTTTATAAATTCCTTTATTCAAGTTTGATGCCCTTGCTGCAAATTGAACGATCTCAGTTTCAAACATAACATAAAACTCTACCATGTTGTGGCCACTCGTCCCTCGAGATTCTTTTACAAGATTGTTAATTGGTCTTTTTTTTTTTGCATTATGTACATAAAATAACCTGTCCTGTAGGTATCTCTTTGACACACTGCTCCAAAAACCCGCCCTCCTCAGCGACAGTTTTCCCTGGTCCTGACATAGCCTGATGTCACCTGTGATAACTGCGTTGCACGTGCTACACGCATCTCTTACCTCCAGATTAATACCATGCCCCTGGCTGTTACCGACATTTCCTGGAAGTTTTGTTACTGTTGTGCAGACATCCAGGGGTCCTACAAATTGCTCCTGCCCGTGTCTGCTGCCCTCTCGTGCTTTCTTGATTCCAGATTCCACGCGTTGTTCTTCCGATCGAAGATCCTCCCTCACTTGATGCACTGATCGCATCCTTTGTGCAACTCCACCTCCTTGTCTGTCCTTCCTTAAACAAGAAATATACATCCTTCTCTTCGGCGTCCACCAACCATTATCAGTCAAGTTTTACTGTCCAGCAACCAGACTCCGCTTCCTGAATCTGCACCATTGTTAGCCACCCCATGTGTAAGGTCAGGGGTCAGTGAACGCAGTGAGCACTGCCCTCCTCTTAAACGAGAGAAAACAGCTTCATTTTTAACCAATCTGGCAAAATTGGCTTAACTGCAGGAGACAGAGAGCGGAGGTGTGGAGGGTTGTTTTCCAGGCTGCGGACCTGTGACCAGCGATGTTCCACAGGGATCGGTACTGAATCCGCTTTTGTTTGTCATTTGTATAAATGATTTAGATGAGAATATAGTAAGGTAGTAGTACGTTTGCAGATGACACCAAAATTGGTGGTAGAGCGGATAGCGAACAAGGTTATCTAAGATGACAAAGGGGTCTTGATCAATTGGGACAATGGGCCGAGGAGTGGCAGATGGAGTTTAAATTGGATAAATGTGAGGTATTGCATTTTGGTAAAACAAGGGCTGGACTTGCACAGTTAAAAGTAGTGCCTTGGATAATGTTGTAGAACAGAGATACTTAGGGGTTTAGGTACGTAATTCTTTGAAGTTTGCATCACAGGTAGACAGGGTGGTTAAGAAGGTGTTTAACACAGTTGCCTACATTGCTCAGACCTTTGAGTATAGGAGTTGGAACGTCATGTTGAGGTTGTACAGGACATTGGTGAGGCCTCTTCTGGAGAACAGCGTGCAGTTCTGGTCGCCCTGTTATGGGAAGGATGTTATCAAGCTAGGGAGGGTTCAGGAAAAATTTACCAGGCTGTTGCCGGGAATGGAGGGTTTGAGTTATAGGTAGAGACTAGATAGACTGGGTCATTTTTCCTCTGGCATATAGGATGTTGAGGGGTATAGATAAGGTGATTGGCAGATGTCTTTTCCCTAGGTGGGGGATTTCAAGACGAGGGGGCATATTTTTAAGGTGATAGGAAAAAGACATGAGGGGCAACTTTTTTACACAGGGAGTGGCTCGTGTGTGGAGTGAACTTCCTGAGGAAATGGTGGATGTGGGTATAGTTACAACATTTAAAAGACATTTGGATAAGTCCATGAGCAGGAAAGGTTTGGAGGGAGATGGGCCAGGAGCAGGCAAGTGGGACTGGTTTAGTTTGGGATTATGGTGGGCATGGAGTGGTTGGACCGAAGGGCCTGTTTCCGTGCTGTATGACTGTATGAAGGGGTAACAGTATTTTAGACAAAATAGCAACTACAAAGGCATCTGGGGATCTGAAAAAGTCCACTGATATTATTACTGGTATTAGTCATTCTGCCTATCTGCCAGTGGCTCTGAATTATATTAGTTAATTAATTGACTGGCTCAGTGCCTGCAGAGTAGCATTTAATTGAAATTTAGTACAGACTCAATATTGGTCCCGTAAAATAAAAAGCAAAGCAGAAACAAAATACAAAAGTTAAAAAATTGCAATAGCTAATGATTTTGGTTTGCACAGTCAGTCAGTATACTGTGTGCAGCTCTTGCCTCCTCAGTTAAGGAGGGATGTAACTGCTTTTGAAGTAGCTCGGAGAATATTTACTGGACTTCTACCTGGAACAGAGTTTGCCTTGCATGGAGTGGTTGGACCTACTGGATTTTAGCAGTGTAAGAGGTGACATGATTGAAATGTGGGAAGTCCCAAGGGAATATTGACGGTAGACATGGAGAGACTTTTAGGGGAGAATCTAGAACCAGAGGTCATCGATTTCAAACAGATATTTTTCAGGATTCTACACGCCCCAACACACTCATCACACTACCCTATATCAGGACCCCAGAGTTTAAAAACCAGGCGGGAAAACACACCAAAGCTTCATCAGAGGCTGCACTGATGATGTTACCAAGCACGGTAACGAAACATCTGCGGAACAACAAACCAGCTCGGCGAGCCAACCAACCTCAACACCCACAACCCGAGCTACAGATCTACTCCAAAACCTTAAGAGTTTTTTTTGCAACTGAGTTGTGAGTTTCTGGAGCTCTGAGCCTTGAAAAGCAGAGCCCTTGCAACGAGGCAGACGTGGGGCCAATTATTGATCAGCAAGGGGGTCAAAGGTTACCTCTGATTCCAGAGAAGATAGACTCTGTTTTCTCAGCACTGTGGGACAATCCCCTGTGTGTGAATCACCGAACCCCTCACTGCAGTGTTCCCAAAGCAGTCCAATACAGCGGCCCGCACTCAACACAGTTCCTCCAGCCGTGCCCCCACGTTGCAGCAATCCCTAATGTTGTTAAGACAGTTTTGCAATTCGGCCAGACATCACTTACTCCAAAAGAGCATATACCAACCCACTACATTCGTAAGAGACTGATGAAGACAGTTCAGCAAAATCCTGCCCATGTTCCAGTCGATGATATTCCCTCCCTGACCCGCTTCAGTCACTCGGCCAGGCAACAGGCTGAGGTGCCATGCCTGAACCATCGAGGCGTACCCTCTCCAAACAATATCAGGACCTTTATTACCAACTGCTGGCCTAAAACTCTCAGGGCACATCTAACTACCATAGGAGGAATATCAACTAATACCACCATCTTGTCTGACGCCTTTATTCCTGGTCTGTGCCTGGCCTGGGAGTGTTTGGAGGGGACAGTGTGATGGGAGCTTTACTTTCAGTTTAAACAGTAGAGAGAGCTTTACTCTGTATCTAACCCCGTGCTGTCCCTGTCCTTGAAGTGTTTGATGGGGGGAACAGTGTAGTGGCAGCTTTACTCTGTATCTAACTTCACGCTGTACCTGTCCTGGAAGTGGTGATGGGGATAGTAATGGGGAAGCTTTACTTTCGGTTTAAAAGAGTAGAAGTAGCCTTACTCTGTATCTAACCCCGTGCTGTCCCTGTGCTGGGAGTGTTTGATGGGGGACAGTGTAGAGGGAGCTTTACTCTGTATCTAACCCCGTGCTGTCCCTGCTCTGGGGAGTGTTTGATGAGGGACAGTGTAGAGGGAGCTTTACTCAGTATCTAACCCTGTGCTGTCCCTGTCCTGGGAGTGTTTGATGGGGGACAGTGTAGAGGAAGCTTTACTCTGTATCTAACCCTGTCCTGGGAGTGATTGATGGGGGG